GGTAATAGATTCAGGGGCTAGTCATCATGTTACTCATGAGAGTGGTTTATATAAAGAATTTAAGTCTTTAGATAGAACGTTTGTCAAGTTGCCAAATGGTTTGACAGTGAAGATAGAGGGAACCGGTTTCGTCCAACTTATGGATGCTTTGGCTTTACATAATGTCTTGTATATCCCTGAAGTCAAATTCAACTTGCTGAGTGTTAGTGTCTTGATGAAAATGTTGCATTCTAAAGTGAGCTTCACTTTTGATTCTTGTTTCATTCAGGCTCTTACTCAGGAGCTGATTATTGGTCAAGGTAGTCAAGTCGCAAGTTTATATGTCCTGCATCTCGACAAGTCTGTTGTCAATGTGTCTTGTTCCGCTTTATCAGGTACTTTTTCTATTTGTTCTGTTGTTGATTCTGTAACGTGGCATAAGAGACTAGGACATCTATGCACAAAATTAGTACTCTTTCTGATGTATTGCATCTTTCGAAAACAAAGAATACTAATAAATCATCAGATCATTGTCATATTTGCCATCAGTCTAAACAGAAACGTCTTGCTTTTAAATCTTTTAATCATATGTGTGAGAAATCTTTTGAACTAATTCATATTGATACATGGGGTCCTTTTTCTATTTCTACCGTGAATGGTTTCAAATATTTTCTCACCATAGTAGACGATTTCAGTAGGGCAACTTGGGTTTATATGTTGAAACAAAAATCTGATGTTTTACATGTGTTTCCTGGCTTCATTGTGATGATTGAGAATCAGTTTAATACTAAAGTTTGCTCTGTTTGGTCTGACAATGCTAATGAATTGAATTTTATCTATATTTGAATAAAGGGATCAAATCTTTTTATTTTTGTTCCTTTGCATTACTGGGGTGATTGTGTCTTGACTGCTGCATTTCTTATTAATCGATTGCCTAGTCATGTGTTAGATAATAAATCTCCCTATGAAAAGCTAATATCTAGAGGTCCGGATTACACTTCTCTTCAAACTTTTGGTAGTTTGTGTTACTGTTCTACATCGCCTAAGTCTAGAACTAAGTTTGATCCTAGAGCTAGGGCTTGTGTCTTTCTAGGATATCCAGCAGGGGTATAAGCTACTAGATATAAAGATACACTCAGTTTCCATTTCAAGGCATGTTATTTTTCATGAGCATATCTTTCTTTTTGCATCTTCAACCATCTCTGATGATGCAAAACATTTATGTCCTCATCTTCATTTCCCTGCACAAATCGATGAACTTCTGCCACTTGTGCAATCATCATCTGATGCACATCACTCTTCTGATGAGTCATCTTCCCTGGTTTCCGTTCCTTCTAAATTTAAACCAACTCGACAGAGAAAACTGCCTTCCCATTTGCAGGACTTTGATTGTTATAATACTACTCCTATTAAAACTACTCATTATCCTATAGTTAACTATATTTCTTACTCATATCTATCTGAGCTTTTCCGAGCTTTCATTAATATTATCACTAAGATACCAATACCCCAAAAGTATTCGGAGGCGAAGGTTGATATACTGTGGAATAATGCTATAAGAAAGGAGATATGGGCTTTTGTCTGCACTGAAACATGGAGTATTACTGATTTACCTCTGGGTAAAGTGTCAGTGGGTTACAAATGGGTACTCGCCATCAAATATCATGCAGATGACAGCATAGAGCACTATAAGGCACGGCTGGTGGCTAAAAGGTATACCCAACAGGAGGGCATAGACTTTATTGATACCTTCTCCCCAGTCGCCAAGATGGCTATGGTCAAAATCATCTTTGGTCTTTCTCCCAAGATGAAATGGTCCTTACATCAGCTTGATGTCTCTAATTCTTTCTCAATGGTGACCTTGATGAGGAGATTTACATGAAACTACCATCAGGCTGTGCTGAGATTCAGGGGGAATCCGTGTCACCGAATGCGGTTTATCGTCTTCACAAATCCATTTATGGTATCAAGCAAGCTTCTCGACAATGGTTCATCAAGTTTTCTACAACTTTGGTCAACCTTGGGTTTGCGAAGTGTCATGGTGATCACACATTATTTGTCAAAGTTTGTGATGAGAACTTTCTGGTGGTAATTGTTTATGTGGATGACATTATCATCGCCAGTACGGATGACGCTGCAGCTGTTCAATTGAAGACTCAACTTAGCTCTGCTTTTCAGATCCGTGACCTTGGCCCTCCAAAGTTTTTCCTCGGTATTGAGATTGCTAGATCAGATGAAGGAATATCTCTTTGCCAAAGGAAGTACGTTCTTGATTTGTTGACTTCTACAGACTTTGCTGATTTTAAGCCTTCTTCTATTCCTATGGAGCCAAATCAGAAACTTTCTCAGGCTGATGGTAATCTCTTGGATGACATAAAGCAGTACAGGAAACTTGTTGGCAAATTACAGTACATGACCATTACTCGTCCGGACATTGCTTTTGCGGTTGCCAAGCTTGCTCAATATTCTTCTGCTCCTCGTGATTCTCATCCTCAAGCAGTTCACAAGGTGCTGCATTACTTAAAGGGTACAATTGGACAAGATCTTTTCTACGGCAGAGAAGCAAACTTTGATCTTTGAGACTTTACTGATTCGGATTGGGGTGCTTGTCCTGACACTCGGAGATCTGTCACTGGTTACGCTATGTTCATTGGTAACTCTTTAGTCTCCTAGAAATCCAAGAAACAACAGATGGTCTCTTTGAGGTCTGCTGAAGCAGAGTATCGAGCCATGTGTATGGCGACTAAAGAACTCACATGGATCAGCCAACTCCTCAAGGATCTTCGTGTTCCTTTTGTTCTGCCTGCTTATCTCTACTGTGAAAATGGCTGCTCTATATATTGCAAGCCATTCTATCTTCTATGAGAGGACCAAACATATCGAGTTACATTGTCACAAGGTACGCGAAGCAATTGACGATGGCATTATCAAAACTTTGTTTGTTCGCACGGACAATCAGCTCGCTGATGTTCTTACCAAGGCTCTTTATCCAGTTCCCTTCTGAGACAACTTACACAAGATGGATGTATATAATATTTATGCACTACCGTCATCTTGAAGGGGAATATCAAAATATATAGATTCAGTTAAGTCCGGTTTAGATTAGATTGTAATTTAGTCTTGGTTTAATATGGTACATACATGTATATAAATAATAGTAGAATATGAAAGATATTTTCATAAGATTTCTTTGTTCGTCACTCCTATTAAAAACTATATTTAATTTAAAAATTCGACACATAAATCCGTTACATCGTAAGATTTAGTATAGAACATCCTACAAACTTTTAAAATAATAAAATCTTTATTTATATTTACCATCTAAAATATATTCTTTTGTTAGTAAAATATAATTAATATCTTTTAAATTTTTAAAATTTTGGCACATAAAACCATTACATTATAAAGATTTAGTTTTTGCATGCTTGTTTTCAAAACAGAGAAATTTTTACCATTCATCTAAACTTACCAGCTAAGATGTAATCTTTGCTGATAAATGGGATTAACCACACCGAATTATTATTGTGAAGCCTGCCGTGTCTGAATCCCACAATATTTTTAGGGAAATACCACTAAATAGCGAAGGATCGGTAATAAATTAGATAATCGACAATGGTATTCTAGAGTCCAAGCATTAAAATATTTAGCCATACATTCTCTCCACTTTATCCTCATGCGCTAACCTTCTTACACCCCCAAAATATTGTCACATTCTCTCCACTTCCTCTTCTCTCTTTTATCTCTTGTTCTCATTCTTTCTTCTTCTCTTTTGAAATCTCTTGAACTTAGTTTTTTCCTTTCAATGAAACTGTCTGCTGGTTCCAACAAAAGCAAGATGATCTCATCACCTATCTCTGATCCGACCACCACCGACCACCACTGAGTCAGCCAAATCGTCACTCTCCACATCATTGCCGTTGTTCTAGCTAATCGCCCACATGCACCTCTGAAAATCATCTCAGACAATCAATACATGATTAGATATGAGGTTACAGAGCCATCAACTTCTCCGCCATCAACTTCTCTGATGAGACCTAATTTCTGAGATTCTCTATTTTTTTACATGTGAGATCTTATTCTCACACTTGTTGTTGGATTCTCAAGATCATATTCGCTCGATCTCGCTCTATTGATTGTTTCATTAAGAGATCGCTCTAATCTATCATTTTTCAAGCTAATTCTTTTATTTCATTATCACACATGTCAGATGTTTGTATATATCGTATGTTGTATATATTAAGCCTATTTTACTTTTTGCACATCTACAATACCTTATAGATACATCATATCAAATAACACTCCAAAGTAAATATCTATGACCATCCATCAGTGTTACTGGACAACTACAATACCTTGTAGATTTACATATAGTACACTCATTTATGAATCAGCTCAAATAGCACGATATAATATAATTTACGTGATCTACCTCGTACGCTACCACCCATCATAATAAATAATCCTCCAAATACGATAATAATTCTCCATCAATATTAGTAGACAACTACAACACTTTGTAGACTTATATTTTACTCACTATACTCATATATCATTATAAACCCCTATCATATCAAATAACACGTTATAATATATATATATATATATATTTGTCACATATACAATATGTATCTTTATTCTCTTAACCTGTTAAATTATAGATGTTCATATAACAATAATGAATTTGTTTATTCTCGTTAATGTTAATTTTGCAGAGAAGAAAAGTGAAAAAAAAAAATGGGAGAAATAGAAAGATGAGAAGAAAGGAGACCCTCATTTACTACAAAAGTTTCCGACAGCTTAAAATAATAACAGCTCACATCACCAGATAAATGTGGACATATCCACTTCATTCATTATCACTCTCATACGCGCAAGCAATGGCATCAAACGTAAATAATCAAATCCATAAATTACTGTTCATCATCCTTTAACTAATTCCTTCTAGCTCATTAAAATTTTATTATTTTCCTAATTAAAACTCAATACTTAGCTTTCTATCTCTTTATCCCTTGTTTTTAACACACACTTTGAAATCTGTTGAAACATCTCCAAATCCTCTAAAGTCTCCAACACAGTGAAACGACAGCGTTTGGGGTATAAGCCAAGAACCGTAATCACCGTACACCACTAACCTTTTTGCACGGTCTCTCTACTCTCCTCAACTTCAAAAACTCCTCCCTTTGTGATTCCTTCATCACAAGAAGAGAAAACCTCTTCTGCATTGCTCCTCCATCTCCGATTTGTTCCCGGGAAAATTGAGACTCTTCATTTTCCGAGGAAAGGAAAGTAAATTAGTTAACTGTACTTGTAGGATCTGTGGACCTTTCTAATCCCTTTCGAAAACCCTCGCCTTCGCGGATTTGGGGACGGACTTTTTTTCTCCGGCGAGCTTGATTAATGACTACTAGTTGATTCTGGACTTTTGAGATTGTTTTCTAATGGAGAGATCTAGATCGAAGAGGAACTATCACTATGACCAGGACTATGATGGAGATTCCATGGCCAGGTCTAAACCTCGCTACAACAACAATAACTACCACTTTGGCGGCGGAGCAGGAGGAGGAAATATTAGATACCGTGGCGGCGGCGGTGGAAACGGCCGGCCATCGAAGTCCCACCCGGAAACAATGGCGACGACGACCTATCGAGTCCTCTGCCACGACGCCAAAGCAGGCGGAGTCATCGGTAAATCAGGGTCAATCATCAAGTCGATACGACAGCACACCGGCGCGTGGATCAACGTTCACGAGCTAGTTCCCGGAGACACAGAGCGTATCATCGAGATTTCCGATAACCGCCGCCGTGATCCTGACGGGAGAATGCCGTCCTTCTCCCCTGCTCAGGAGGCTTTGTTCAGTGTTCACGACAGGATTTTGGAGAGCGAGGCTCAGTTTGGGTACGGTGTAGCTCCGCCGCCGGAGGAGGAGGAGGATTACGGCGGAGTTAGACCCGGAGGAGGGAGAGTGGTGACGAGGCTAGTGGTTTCGAGGATACATGTGGGTTGCTTGTTGGGTAAAGGTGGGAAGATTATCGAGCAGATGAGGATCGAAACTAAGACTCACATTCGGATTTTGCCAAGAGAAAGCAACTTACCTCGTTGTGTTTCCCTCTCTGAAGAGATTGTTCAGGTCTCAAAATTGCTCCCCTGAATCAAACTTTGAGAAACTGAAATTGAAATAGTTGCAAATAGCTTGAAAGCGTATATGAAATGGTGATTCTGGTTTTAGATTTCATATGAAAATGTATGGATTTGAATCACAGTTACGTTGGTCTTTGTTTATTATGTCAAGTCTCCTTTTGGTTTTTGCTTACATATGTATGGGAGATGTGTTTGTGGTGTTGCCTCTTTCAGATCGTAGGTGAACCTGAAGCAGTGAAGAACGCTTTAGCCATTGTATCATCGCGTCTAAGAGAGAGTCAACATCGTGATCGAAGTCATTTCCAAGGCCGTATACATTCACCGGAACGGCCTTTCCCACCTGCTGATGATTACATTCCGCAGCAAAGAAGACAACCAACAGAGAGGTTTCATCATGGCGGCGGCAATTACAGGAACAACAGTTTCAACTCTCGTCAATCCGACTACGCAGCAGAAGCTCCATCGGTTCCAGCTGGTGACAATGCGCAGCCTTTCTACGCGGAAGAGCTTGTGTTCCGGATGCTATGTCCCGTCGACAAGATTGTTCGTGTTGTTGGAGAACCGCAAGGGATAGTAGATTTGCTTCAGAACGAGATTGGCGTGGACATGAGCGTATCTGAACCTGTTGCTGGATCTGATGAACAGATAATAACCATTTCTTCTGAAGAGGTATCTTCAAATATCCACAACAGATCTTCTTCGGTTTTATCTGTTACATGTATAAATTGTTAATTTGAAGTTCTGTTTTCTTGTTTTGCCTAGGCACCTGAGGACCAGCTTTTCCCTGCGCAAGAAGCTTTGTTGCACATTCAGACTCGGATCGTGGACCTTATCCCTGATAAAGACAACCTTATAACAACGAGACTGCTTGTCTCATCTAGAGACTCAGTATGTTTGGAAGGGAAAGCTGGATCTGTATCTGAGATATCACGTTTGACGGGAGCAAACGTGGAGATCCTCTCTAGGGAAGAGATTCCCCGATGTGTATCCGTCAATGATGTTGTTGTACAGGTTTGTTAGTCTAGATTTTGAAGAGTTGTGCATATTCTAAACTTAACTTTTTTTTGTATCTAAAAAAGAGAATTCTCATGTGGATGTTAGATTGCTGGAGAGATCAGAGCAGCTCGTGATGCACTTGTTGAACTAACCTTACGATTGAGGGGTTATCTGTCCAAGGAGCTCTCTCAAAAGGAGACACCACCTGCTTCCACATCCACAACTGGCCCGCTTGAAGGTGTTGCAGGAGTGATAGAGGTAGCTTCGTCAAACAACACAACTCAATCCCGTGATGGTCTTACTGGTTCCAATCTGAACTTGCAGCAGTTTAAGGTTTTAATATCTCTCATATCTTGTCAATACAAATGCATCCGTAATCAGTTAGGCTCAGACTTATTGACAGTTATGACATGGAAACGATGTTATACTCGGGAAAGTAGCATACCTTTATTGTACATCAGTGCAATGTTCTTGTATTTAAATATATTGTCTCCTGGTTTTCTTAGGAAGGATCATTTGCGAAGGCGGCTGAAAGTGAACACCGGGACGAGGCTCCCGTCACGACAAGCAGGTAGAGAAACTCCTCACATTTAAAAATTGTTCTTTCTGAAACCCGTGCTCGTTTCAACACCTCTCCTTTCTGTTTCTCTAGGATGTCGGTGCCACTTGTTACTAGAAGCACTCTTGAAGTTGTCTTACCGGACCAGGCTGTTCATAAGCTTATTACGAAATCAAGAAACAAGCTTGCACATATCAGTGAGGTGAAAACTCTCTATTCACTGGAACCTAGATCGGTTGCAAAACTTGTCTTTAAATTTCAAGTCTCTGATACTTGTCTTCTCTTATCTTCTTTCCCATTTGATGGTCGCAGTGGTCTGGAGCTAGCGTAACCTTAGTTGAAGACCGACCGGAAGAAACACAGAACATCATTCGAATTTCGGGTACACCAGAGCAGGCGGAGAGAGCACAGAGCTTGCTTCAGGGCTTCATCTTGAGCAGTAAGCTTCTCTCTTTTCTCAAACTAAATACCAAATAACCATCTTTGCTGAGCTATATAGGACTGATCTTTGCTCCTTCTTTGGTTCAGTACAAGAGGATGGACCCTGAAGATGGACCTGATCATCGGTTAAGACAGGGATGAGATCAAAGAAACTGAGAAATGTGGAGTTTGTATGAATCTGCTGAGTATTAGGATTTCAATGGAAGCGTGAGCATTAACGGGTTGAGGTTTGTAGATGAACATTTTGAACTTCTCTTTGGTTTCTATGTTGTCTATTAGCCTCTTTTCCATTGTTTTGTAACCTATAAAAGTTATAAAAAATTTAGTCTCAATTACTTATTAAAGACTAAATTTTCTTTTTCTTTTTGCATTCATCTTCATGGTTTATTTATTTAGTGGTGATGCAAAAAATGCAGACAAACGGTGACATCTTTCCTCCTATTGGTCTCCCTATAGAAATTTTAAAAAATATTATAAATCTTAATAGAAAATCTCTTGAAAATTAAGAATTACTAGATTAATTAATCTATTCAAAATCTATAAGTCAATAACTCTATAAATCTCCTTAAAATTAATAATTACTAGATAGTTTAACTTATTCAATTCTATAAACTAATAACTTTATAAATTTATAAAATAACAACATCCCATTAATGTATTATTAATTTCAAAATATTGTCTTCGGTTATACTAATTTTGTCTTCTGAAAATGATGTTTATTAGCTTTTGTTATTTTTGCTTTCATGGTTTAATTCCATGACAGCTCATGATGTTTGGGGATATAATCCTAATTTATAACTTTAATAACAAAGGTTGGTTGATTAGTAGAGAAACATGTTTTCATTTTGCTGAATATAGTGTTACAGATAAACATATCTTTTATCAACAGCAAATTATATTGAAACTTCCCGATTTTACTAAACCGTATTTGACCAAAAGTATGTTAGACTCAAAATCTGTTTTGCATTCATCTTCATGCATATTTGTTCAGTTATATAAGAATACAGAGAATATAAAGATAAAATAAAATTAAAAACTCGATTTCGACAGACAGTACTTGTGTATATTATAATAAAATAAGATGATGATCTATTTTGCATTGTATGCATATAGATTTTGGGTCTCATTCTAATTACATCCCATTTTAAAGTTAAAGATCCAATTTTATATTATATAAAGTTCGAAACTAATTTCTCCATACAATACATCTTCGAAATTGAATTACACATTAACGTAGAAACCTGTTGGTAAACTATTTACCAATAATCCATAAACCATGGTTTGGATAAATAAATCTAAAACTAAACCAATAAAATCCCATTAGAAAATATTATTAACCCGATTTGAAACATAAACTCCCGAAAAAAAACCCAGAAAAACCCCCAATTCATGAACTTTAAATCGATTGCAAAATTGAAAGATTTCCTAAATTCTGCAAAATTGAAAAACTTACCGAAGATCGGTGGTCAATTCATCTTGCTGAGTCTGCAATCAATAGCTATGGTGGAGTTTTACGACGTTCCTATATTTATCGACGATTCCGACTCCGATGATGAAGAGACGATGGAGCGAAATGCTTTCCACATTGAGGAAGATGTAGCTGCATTCACTGATGAGTAACCCATTTGTCACAACGTGTATCCGGGGAGTGAGAGCGATAGTGATAGTGATGGTGATAAAAACAATGCTGATAAAGAGGATGGTTCAAAATCGAAGAAACAAAGAACTCTAGAGCGTGATCGAGTCAGAAGAGGCAGTGGGAACTTATACATGGGCCAATGTTCTTTAATGGAGTGGCATTCAAAGAATTTGTGTTTGGTTACGCTTTGAAGGCAAGGCACAATCTCAAGCATATAAGGTACGATAAAATCAAGCTTGCATATGTTGGTGTAGGCCGAAATGTAGAAGGACATTGTGAGTGGCGTATCTATTGTTGGAGTAGTAGAGTACCTGAGAGATGACAGGTTAAGGTGTTCAATGATAGACATAGATGTGTTCGAAATGGGCATTGCGAGATGATTAAGCTCCCTGGTATAGCTAGATTGTTTGTAGACAAGATAAGAGAAGAGCCATCATATTACATGCCTATGAAGATAGAAGAATTATTCTTGGAAAGGTGGAAGATCACTGTCTCAAGACCTCAATGTCAAGCTGCTAGAAATAAAGCATTAAGGTGGATTGACAAGGAATATGAAGAGCATTTTGCTCGTCTCCGAGATTATGGTGCTGAGATAATGGATTCAAATCCAAATTTTACAGTAGAAGTTGAGACTAAGAGAAACTAGCAAGATCAATATATTTTCAGCTGCTTCTATGTATGCTTTGATGTTCTTAGGAGATCATGGAAATCTACATGTATACCACTAGTAGGAGTTTATGGCTGCTTTTTAAGAGGAAAAACGAAAGGGCAGTTGTTGATTGCTCTAGGCCGAAATGCTGATAATGCCATATATCCTGTCGCATGGGCTGTTGTGCAAGTGGAAAGCATGCCTAATTAGGTATGAAGAAGATTAAAAATTGATTTGGGCTTTATAAAATGGTGAAGGATATATCTTAATGGCTCTAATTGGTGACATATATTTTTAAATTTGAATTATAGTTGATGTTATAATTCGATGTAATTTACAGTAAATTTATGTGGTAAAAACAGTAGATTTATGTGGTAAGTCTGCTGTATAAATTTGATCTAATATTTTTATCGAAATAAATGACTGGTCACTTTTCTGATGTATAAGTTGCAGTATATATTATTTAATATAAAAATTAATAATAATTTGAATAATAAAAGTATTTTATGTGAGTAAAATGACAAAATAAAAATAGACTTCAAAGTTAATTATTATTTATTACAAATTTTAATTATAAAATAGATTAAATATTTTAATACTAACTTAAAATACATCAAATTAAAAATCATATATATATAATTATGTGGGAATATTTATTTTTTAAGTTGTAGTATATATTACTAAAAGTAAATTAATTTATAATGAATAATAATGATAAATATAAATTAATTAAATTAATAATATCTTAAACATAATAAAATCAAATAAAAACAAGTTAAAATGATAGACTAAGTAGAACTTTATTTAAATTTAAAATAAAATTATTTTAATTGACCAAGTAATTTTATTGACGATAAAATGAAAATACATATATATTTAAATTAATTTGAGAAAAAAAATAAAGCTAGCAAAACCTGAAATCCGACGTAGGTGTTAAATGTTTTTTAATAAAATGATAACTCAACTTCTAAGTCATCACTTTTTTTTGATTTAGCATTAACTGTTGAGTTAGCAATTTAACAAAGATATAACTCAAAATTTTACATCAACTATAACTCATTATAAGGCAAACTTAAAATCAAAAAACCTAATTTAACACTTGATTGGTAACATTTTTAAGTTAAACTCTTAACTCAAACTTAATCAATGGTAACTCATGTTTGTTTATTTGTGCCTTCTGATATTGGTGTTTGCTTATATGTTCTAAGTTATATTTGTGACTTTATATCTCAAGGACTGATCACAGTTCGATGGAATTGCTAAACATGGAGCATTGAATGTGTGTTAGACACATATATGCAAATGTGAAGAGGAGACATGCAAAGAATGATATGCTGAAGCCATTAATTTGGAATCTAGTATAGAGCTACTATAAAGCAGATTATAAGAAAAATCTTGATAGGTTGTTAAAGTATGAGTTACAAGTTTATGCGGATGTTGTGAAAACAAACCCGAAAACATGGTGTAGAGCTTTCTTCAAATTAGGTAACTACTGTGAGGATGTTGACAACAACTCCACGGAATCCTTTAACAGCTCCATAGTTTGTGCCAGAGAGAAGCCATTAGTCCCAATGCTAGAGACCATTACTCGACTTGCAATGGTGCGTATTGCTACTAGAGATGTCAAAGCTCAAGCGCACAAAGCTATTTGTACATCCTATGTGCCTGAATTTCTCGCGGAAGAGCATAAAAAGGCTTCAGAGTGCACGGTTTATAGAAGCACAAATGATCAGTGGTTAGTCTATCTTGAAGGATGTTCTTACCGTGTTGTCTTAGAGAATAGACTTGTACTTGTATGAGATAGAAAATCACGGGAATCCCTTGTGAGCATGCATATGGCGTGATAATGCATAAGAAACTTGAGGCTGAGGACTTTGTGTGTCACTGGTTTCATACAATCATGTGGAGGAGGACATATCAAGAGGGAATAACTCCAATTAGAGGAGCAAGGTTTTGGCCATGTGTATCAAATCCTTCTGTACATCAAGCTCTTGGGCCAGATCTTCCTGGTCGTAAAAAGAAGAAGAACAAAAGGAAGAAAGGGATAAATAAGTCTCCCGTAAAGAAGAAATCGAAGGTCTTAAAACGTATAATGCATTGTGGGATTTGTGATGCAGCTATAACTGTCGATTTCATAAGAAAAAAGGTAATTTGGCTTTATTTGGTTTCATATGAATCTCTGATTTTATATCAATGTTGTTCTTATTTTTGCTTCTTCCTTTATATCTCAACAAGGTGAAGCTTCGCAAGTCTTTCTCACTCAAGGCGAACCTTCAAAAAGTGTTCTCACTCAAGAATTAGTCTCACTTTCACAAAGGTTAGATTCTTCTTGGTTTTATGTTTTTTTGTTGTCTTATCTTCATTGTTTCTGTTGTCTCGGTTTTACATGCCTATTTTTTAATGTACTGATGGTAAATGTATCTGCTGTGTCTCGGTTTTCTGTTGTCTTGGTTTCTGTTGTCTCGGTTTTAAGATGGCTAATATGATGTCTTCTGCTGTGTCTTATGACAGGGAGTAGGAGAAACAAGGCATGAGGTGACTTAGAGTAGAAGAAGAAGAGTGCATGAGATGACTTAGAGTATCAGAGGAAGAGTGCATGAGCTGGTTTTTGTGTTGTGTCTTTCTCTTATTTTCTTTTGGTTTTTGGTACTTGTATTCTGAACATGAATTTAGTTTGTTATCTATGTATGAATATGAATCAGTTTGTTTGAATCTTTAGGTAAAATGAGCATTAAATTTTCAGTTTTTTGTTTCCCTTACATTTATTTACCTTACCTTGCACAAATAATATAACACAAGAACAATATCATTCAACATAATAAAAAAATTGACTATAAGTTTAAACAATAGAAAACATAGGAAAGAAGAGTGCGATTGATTTAACAAACAACAAATACACTACATGTTCTACAAGAGACTCAACCTGCTATTTTCAAGAAAGCAAACAAGATCATGCAACTAATTACTACAAGGACACTTATTTTTTTCAAACTTTCTTTTGATTCTACCAATATTTCCTCCACTCTCTCAAAAATCTCTTTCTCCATTTCTCTCATGCTCTCTTTCGATTCCACGAACACCTTCTTCTCAAC